ATTTCAACTGTAATAGAAAAATGTAAATTATGATTGAAAGAAGAAAATTATCTCACATGCTAAAATGGATGGCTCTTGAGGGCACATGAAATAAACCAGTCACAAAACAAAAACCACACACACTTGCTCAACCCTTATCAAATTACATGTAAAGTATAAAACAATGGCCCCGCCAAAGTAGTTCAGTGGCTGAGTGTCAACACAAGCACCAAGAGGTCGCAGGCTTGATCCCTGTTCAGTACACATGCCCAGATTGTGGGCCAACTCCAGAGTGGGGGGGGGGGGGCAGGCAGGAGATGGCTAATCGATGTTCTCTTGTTGATGTTTCTATCTCTCTCTCCCTCCCATCCTCTCTCTATAATTAATTCTAAAGAAGTATTAGTTATCATTCAAATATGATTGAAATCTAGGTGAATGGAAATTGTACAAAGAGAGACATATAAACCAAAGCACACTGAGACTGGCAAAAGGGGCAAAGACATGGGATGGGCTGGTCTCATGTACACTCCTGGCAGAAAACTATTGGGGAGATGATCTTGGCTGTGGAGATTCCCCCTGAGGACAGACTGTCCTAGCTCCACACCACGTTCCCCAGCCCAGGATTCCAATGCCAGGAAGGGAATGCTCCAACTTCTGGCTGTAAAAACCAGTGGGGACTTTGGTTGAGTGAGACAGACGGTCTCTGGAGTCCCAGACATTCCTCTTACAGGCCCTGAGAACAAACTTACTCAGAGTCATCACTCTGAGCTCCAACACTGTGGCGGCAGCTTGAGAAGAACCAAGGACACATGGGCAAGAACTGAATTGTCTGTCACCCAAGTGAGAGCTGAAGAGGGTCAGCTTTCTGCCAGACAGAAGTGCTGGCAGAGGCCATTTCCCCTCTTCTGAGACCATCCCCACAGAGCCCGCAGGCAGATTCCACCTCCGAGTCTCCATCAATCCGGCTCCCACTGTTGGCCCCACTCTCGGCTGATTTCCTGAGACCCTGCCCCATCCAACATTCAAGCCTACTCAGGCTGTTTCCAGTAACTTTTCCATACAAATGGCTTCTCTGGTCTCCTGCTTTGGACTTTCCTGACATCATTCAAAGAAGGAGCATTTGGACCTGGAAAGTCCTGGGACTGTTGCTCTTTGGGCTTAGGACCTCCTAGTGGCAGACACCTTGGTTCCCAACTGACCTCTCCCGGGCACCTCAAAGGCCAACGCAACCCGCAGCCCTCCACAGACTGCTCTGTAGTCTGTGCCAGGTGGCTCCAGGTAGAACACAGGGGGACGATGACTTTGTACCTCTGGGAGGCCGCAGAGCCAGTGCAGCTGATGGATAGCTTCCGACCAAGCCTCATTATAACCCTACCATTTTTATTAAATTCAATGTACTAGGGTGTCCTAGGTTAATAACGTTACATAGGTGTGAGGTGTACACTCTATAACATACACCGGTACATTACATAGTATTTAGAACAACGGGTTTTAGAGGTAGGACAGCCCAGGGGAGCCCTTCAAACAGCAACCTGTAGATCCAAAGGTGGGTTTTTGAAGAAAGTTCACAGGTGGCATCTGAGGGAAATGGATGGGCGGGTGGAGTCCAGAGAGGGCGATAGGCCATGATTATGATTTATCTCCTGTGGGATGGATCTCGGTTATGCCACCTTGTCAATTGATTCGAATAGATGGCTCTGAACTCAGAAGACGGAAACTCTGTCCAACCATCAAGGTTTGTGTGATGAGAAGTCAAGGAAAACCTATTCCATGAAAGTGTAGGAGGTGTGGACTGAAATCTGCCACGTGGGATAAATGCTCATTCCTCCGTAAGGGGGAAAGTCAGGACCCAGTCACTGGACTCGGCAATGGTGGGGAAGGAAGTGTACACAGTTTAATGAAAAAGGTCCGAGACATTCTCTCTGCACGTGGACAATGACTGCTCCCCCTGCAGTGAGCTGCACACAGGTCACTCCGCATAGGTCCCAGATGCTCTTCCAGAGTCTTCTGGGCACATGAGATTCATTTCCAAGGCGACCCTCTCTGAAGGTGCGTTGTTTCCTCCTGTGTTTACATCCTGGCCGCCTGGTGGGCACTTGTCTGGCTGTTTCGAGCCTCAAACAGTAGCACCCCGAGCACCACCAGGACCAAGCCGGCCACGCCCAACCGGATGAGGTTCTCCACTGTGTAGTCTAGGGGGTGGGAGGCTGGGAATTGTGAACAAAGAGGTCAAAGAAATCAGGGCAGGCATAAGTCAGCCCAGAATACGGGGTGTCCACCCAGGTCCCACACCAACCCTTGAAAGGTCACGAGTCATTGCATTGGCCCACATAAATGTGACTTGAGGTGCTTTGTGATGGGCTGTGACGCCAATGCTCCAGAGAACCACAAACAGGTGGGGCTGTGTGAGGGGTTGATGCCACTCACACCTGTGGTCCCCAGAACCCTCCCACTTCTCATGACGTGAGGGCTACCCGTCCCTTCAGGAACCCTTTCTCTGCTACAGAAGGACCCTGAACATTGTTATGGGGTCTTTCTGACTCCTGTGCCTTTGGAGATGAGACTGCTTCTGAGTCACTGTGGAACAGAGCTTGGCTCTGCTAGAGAATTCAGGATTGGGGAGAAACGTGGTGTCTCATGGCAGAAAATAACTACTTCTTGCAAAGTGTCTGCTCATAGACACTAACTCTTCTGGGTAAGAGAGCTCTGGTTTTGAAACATCTGGGGACCGAGGATTCATGGGTTGGTTCAAAATGCACACACATGCATATATGTAGCACGTGAGCAATTCTTGAGCTATGAGTTGGGACCGTTTTATAAAAAATGCATTTAAAGCAAAATTCAACCTACTCAAGCATCTTTTATAAGAAACTTTATATTAATAAGAAGTTATTCCTCATAATAAAGATATAAATTTAATATAATGCCATTTAAAATAGGAATAGAATAACCTTTTTCAAGACCTAAATGACTGTGACTTCATTTTACATTTGCAAGTATTGCCAAAAGGTTCTCAAAAAATATCAATATAGAGAGGCGTGTGCAAAAATTGCGAGGAGCTGGTGTGGATTTCTCACACACTCTGGGCAGGACCCTGAGTCCCCATGAGCTCTGCACGGTCCCCCGAGTCTCAGGTGAGCACCGAGTGCATGGAGGCCTCCAGGTGAGCTCAGGAGCCTGCAGAAGGGGGCCCCCAGGAGGGAACAGTTCTCTCTACAGCACCGTGTCCAGGGGACTCCACCCTCACACACACACGTCCCTCCTTGGCCCGAGCATCCTTCTGTCCTGCTCTGCGAAGGCTGAGGGTCCCCACATGTGCAGGTCAGGGGTTCAGTCTAAGGGTCTCTGGAAATGAGCTGATGGGGGACTGTCCATCTGTCTTCTCTCCGACACTCAGCGCCTCTCCTTCTCCGTCAGCCCATCCGTGTTCCCTGTAGTACGGGCCAGGCCTGCACACCCAGTTCTACCAACGCGCCCCTGTCTCCATCATCTGCTGCACATTCTCTTATCCGGTTAGGGACTCGGGCACCATGCGGGTTTAGTGGAAAATTCCACCGATTTGGTGCGGAAGCAGGAGGAGGTGAGATGCTAAATGGGAATTTCCAAATCCTTGCAGACTCTGTAATGTCCTGGGTTCCTCTTCCTAGCTGAGCCCCAGGCGGAAGGATACAAATCGCATGTCCCTGCTCCCTGTCTCCCTCAGCTTTCCAATCAGAACAATCACAGTTACTGGGGCAGCAGGAGGGCTGGAGGGCTGGACCGGGGCAGGTGCAGGACCAGCCAGTTCAGGAGCCCAGGAGGTCCGACAGGACAGCGCCCCTGCAGGTCAGGGCCAGGCAGCTCCCACTTGTTTGAACAGAGAGTTTCTGACAGTGAGATCCACCTCCCAAAGGAGCTGAGTCCACACACATTCAGCCTCTTTCCCAGGGGTCCCCCTGTAGGACGCCCCCTGGTGAGGAGCGACACGCTGGCTCTGAGGTGGAGACACCAGAATCAGTGGGCTGGGTCTCTGTCTGGTCACTTAGTCTAAGCTCATTGCCTCTTAGCTTCACCCCAAGTAATGCCACCTCCCTCCCTCAGCCCTGCCTGAGACTGCAGGGTGGGGTCCCAGTGTGGGAGGTGACCCTGTTTCCTCCCCCACAGGAGACAACCCTCCTCTGTGGACTGTCCAGTGCTCACGTTATTGCCCCCACGTCAGACCTTCCTGGGGACTGAGCCCAGAGAAGACGTCGGAGCTCAGACAGCACAGGACCAGGGCTGCTCCCCTGAGACCTGGGGCTCTGGGCAGAGAACCTGGACCTAAATTATGGCCTCAGGGAGCACGGAGACCCCCTGCCAGTGCATCCCACCCTTACACCCTGCGTCAATGTCAATGAGCGGTGGGGGTTGCCTTCCCCCACCTGAGTCTGGCTGCCCCTGGGCCCCATATTTCCCTCTGCCATGAGCACCCCACCTGTCCTGCGCCTCACGTACCCTCTGCGGGCCTGACTCCATGGGCTGGGGGAATTCTCAGAGGCCCTGGATCCCATGGTTCCCCTGAAATCTCTCTTTGGTTCCTAGTCCCCTGGGACACAAGGCTGCCCTTCTGTGCCCCGGGGGCATTAGAACCTCTGTGAGAGTCTGAATCCCCCTGGGGTGTCTGTGCTCCCTGTGAGCAAACAGGACTTAGTGGTTCATCATCTGTGGAGATGGGCAGTGTAGGGAGAGGGGCCGGGGTCCCAGAGGATCTTAAGAAAGAGGACAGAAGAAGGCTAGAGTCTGGGATGACGCTGGGGTGCCCTCCTCACTCAGTCTCATCTTCACTTGTGCTGTGCACCCTAACACACTTTCCCTGCCCACCTGGCACCTTCTGGACCGTGGAGAGGGGGAGGGATCAAATGGGGTAGTGGAATCTCTGAGGGGCAGATGTCCTCTGGGTGACCACCCCTAGAGCCCTCACTCCCTCCCTTTGAGCTCATCTTTCTTTTGGAGACAGGAGCCTGAGCCAACAGCACAGAAGGACAGGGCCAGGGGCCCCTCACCTGAGACCCGCAGCTCCAGGGGCTCACTGGGGTGTGACAGCAGGTAGGGGGCGGTGCTGAGTGAGCTGTAGCACCTGTAGGTGCCCCCGTGGGCGGAGGTCACAGGACTCATGGAGAACTCTGCCTGGAACTGCTGAGCTCGGTGATGTGATGGAAGACGCAGGGGGGGATCCGCTGCCCCCTCCTTGGACAGAAGGAAAGTGTCCTTCAGGGTCTGTGACTGACACAGCAAGGTCACCTTCTCTCCTGAGGTCACTGTGGTGCCCGGCTGCACCGTGAGGGAGGGTCTGTCAGAGAGCTGTCCTAGAGAGAGGGAGGGTGGGTGAGGGGCTGCCTGCCCACCTTGTTCTGACCTGAGAGTCACCAGGCCTCTCTCTGAGGACCCTCGTTTCTGTCTCTGTTCTCTCTGAGTCTCCCCTCTCCCCTCAAACCCCGTCTCTCTCTCTCTCCCTCCCTGGGCCCTGCACTTTCATTCTGACCATGACCACCTGGGACCCCCCAGCAGGGCCTGTGCGGAGTCTGTCCCTGACTGAACCCCTGATTCCTCACCTGCCACCAGGATGTCCAGGGGGTCACTGGGGGCTGACCACTCGGAGGAGAGGTTGTGTCCACCGTAGCATCTGTACCTGCCCCCGTGGGAGGTGCTCACAGTGTCCAGGGAGAAGTCGGCCTGAGAGAGCCCAGCCTGGGGCTGCAGGACAAGGCTCTGGGGGAGGTCCTGTCCCCCCTCCTTGGACAGAGCGAATCTGTCATAGCCGACATCAGAGCGACACCGGAGGGTCAGGTTCTGTCCAGAGGCCACGATGGGGCCCTGCTGGGCCAGGAGGGAGGGCTTCCCAGACACACCTGAGAGACCAGACATGAGTACAGGGGCTGCTCCTCCCATAACCCCTTCTCCTGGCCTGGCCCATGTCTCACTGTCTCTGTGTCTCTTGCCCCAGGAGCCCTTGTGCTCCCCTGACCTCACCCCCTTATCAGGGGCTCCCCTCCCTGCATAAATGCCAACAACCTGTTCAGCAATTGAATCCATGGAAGGGACAATAATGGGACTCACCTGGGACCAGAAGCTCCAGGGGGTCACTGGGCTGTGACCACACCTGAGTGCTGTTCCTGTAACAGCCATAGCATCTGAACGTCCACCAGAGGTTGGGGGTCACCGGGCCCACAGGGAACAGGGCCTGGGATTGTCCTCTGATGTGTTGTTGTGAGTCCAGGGTCCAGGAGAGCCTGTGTTCTCCTTCCTTAGTCAGGATGAACCTGTCAAATCCCTGCCCTGAGCCACACTGGAGGGTCACGTTCCCTCCTGAGGTCACGACAGGGCTGGGCAGGGCTGAGAGGCTGGGTTTTCTATAGGGTCCTGGGAGAGGGGGAGGTAGGGTATTAAATGGGGTCACACCTCCTTCATGTCCCCCAGGGCTGGGCTGTGAGAGGGCAGAGGCCCTGAGACCAGCCCCTTCCGGAGGGCAGAGCCTGAGGCTGGGACCCTGAGTGTCCCCTCACCTGTCACCACCAGCTCCAGGGGGTCACTGCTCTCTGACCAGCCAGAGGGGCTGCGATAGTAACAGCGATATCTCCCTGCATCATTGTCTGTCGTCCGTGTGATGGAGAACATGGCTTTGTCTCCAGGGTTCGGTGGCTTCTGTGTTTTCCATGGAGGTGTGTTTCCCTCTTTATCCAGATGGTACTCCTCAGCCCCCAGAGTCCCCTGACATGTGATGTTCACGGGGCTCCCCCAGGGGATCACAGATCCAGGCTCAGCCTGGAGGGTAGGTTTGGGGGGTGTCCCTGGAAGGAATCAGATGCTGGGTCCTAAGACATTCCCACCGCAGTCCCCAGCTCCCCATCCCCGATGTCCCTCGTCTGTCAGACAGGTCTGCTCTCCTCCTTCCCCATCTCCCTGGGGGTGTCCCTGTGTCCAGAGGCAGTGAGACCTGGGAGACCTGGGGACAGACTCACCTGCCTGCACTCTGGTCCTCAGGCCCACGCTCAGCCCTGGAAGAGAGTCCCTGTGAGAGGTTCGCCCTGACCCCTGACAAGAGCCCTCCTTCCTGTGAGCCTGCTCAGATTCAGGAACTTCTGACAGAGCAGGGCTTCCCCTCCCCCGTCACATCTCACCCAGGCAGAGCAGGGCGGTGAGTATGGGGGTCATGACGTCCTGTTCCTCCGGGGTCAGCTGAGCAGACGAGGGGACCACGGTGCCAGAAGGTTGGACAGACAGACATGCAGGACAGAGAGTCAGACGCACAGGTTGTGGTCCCTTGGAGTCCGAGCCGGCTGGTCACGGGGATGTCACATCAGCAGCCTATAGGGGAGGGAGCAAACAGCCCCTGTCTAGCAGCCTGACTCTCTTTTATGATAAAGCAGGAAACAGGTGAGGTGACCCAGGGCACGTCCTTCCCTGTCAGAGCCTCCCCCGTGGGGTCTCCATCATCCTCAGCCCATCCCTCAGCACCTCCCTGGGGTCCTCACCTCGGACGTTGTCAGGCCCTGGAGATGCTTCAGGAAGACGTGGGTTCCTGTGGGGATCAGATCAGCAGAGACACGTTCACCCTGTAACTGAGCAGGGCAGGCGTGTGTCCCTGTGACAATGAGCACAGAGGAGAAATGCAGGGAAATAAGGGAAGGAAACACCTTTCTGTGGCCCCAGAGGCTGGGCTTTGTATCACACCCATTTTCGTGAACTTCTCTTTTCCTGAGCATCATCCTCCAGCCCCTCCTCTGTGGGAACAAGCCTCTGGGTCCGGGGTGCGGAACATCCTGCCCAAGGGCCGTGTAAGTTCTGGCCCTGTCAAGGCAGCCGCAGATGGGACTAGAAATTCAATAAAGTTAGGAGCTTTTTTTTACAACAACATACATTTCCATTAAGTGAATCATAATAATAACATAAATGTTGAGGGGACAGGCAAGAACGTCCATTATGGGATAGACAGGACACATATGGGTACACGAGAGGACAGACATGTATACTTCTCGTCGACTGCCCACGGCCCGTCTGCCTATATTGTGGTGACTCAGAGGACTGTCAGTGACGGGCAGGCTGGGAGTGTACACGCTGCGAAGGCAGTTACACTCTGTGGTGAATCCACAGCGATCCTGTGATGATGAGCCGGATTCCACGAGATGATTCCTCGCGACGTTGATGACCTCACCTCCGATGATGGACATGGATCTTGTCGACGTCTCTGCCAACACAGATAATAACTCCAATCCAACCTTTATTCACACGTCCACCATCAACAATCCTGGGGTAAACTGAATCTCGGATGAAGATGAAGGAAATCACAGTACACAGAAGAGACCTCAGGCGTCGATGACACGAACATTGGATATGCTCCAAATCGAGGTGCAGAATTAGAACAGCGATCAAGCAACATAATCGCATCGCTGGCCACACAAATGGCATAGTTATTACAATTTCAATGGAATGGCACCCTATAAATGGTGACTACAAAGAAAAGTTGATGCAGGAATGTCAATCTTTCCAAGAGAAATGGACAAATGATTGTTTTTTGTCATTGAAGTCAACAACACACCTATGAGCACCAGACACAGGAACATTGTTTCAGAGTGTTTGTCTCTGAGAACTGTCTCAGATCGGATGACTGACTTAGCTCAAGATATTGAAAAAACACTGAAGGATTCTGAAGATTTCCTGTTTTTCTCTCGTGGGAGAACTGCAGAGTTTGACATGCGAGAGGAACTGCTGTCCCTGGGACCATGCCTGGCCCTGCAAGAGGTGAGGACTTGTTTGAGAGACGTGTTTTATCAATGAGAAAACTTAAGCTAACATTTGAAAAGTTAAGTGGCCTTCTACAGATGGAGCTCCAGCCATGGCTGGCTCACAGGAAAGGGTTCATTGCATTTGTCAAGGAAGAACTGAACGGTCCCAGTCTTGATCCAAGTGATTCAATTAGGTGCCACTGCATCACACACCAAGAAAATCTTTGTGCACAGTCGTTGCGGCTCAACAATGTGATGCCACAGCATTGGCATGCATACATTTTGTCCAAAGCAGAGGAGTTAACAGCCGCCAGTTGAAGGAGTTACAGAATGATCTTGACTCTGAGTGCATTGCAATTCAAGTAAGAATATGATTGCTGTATGAGTCACATTATCTTTTTTAAAAAATACGTTTTTATTGATTTTTAGGGAGAGAGGGATAGAAACTAGATGTGGGAGAGAAACATGGATGGGCTGCCTCCCACAAGCCCTCGACTGGGGATGGGAGCCTGCAACCCAAGCATTTGCCCTGACCAGGAACCGAATCGGGTCATCTCAGCCCATGGGATGACACTCAATCCACTGAGCCACACTCATTTCAGATTTTATCTTCATTTGTGATTTTTTTCTTTCAATCCTTGGTTAGTAGAGGAGTGTTGTTCTATTTCTAGAAAAGACTTAGAACTCACATTTATCTTCTTCTGCAGAATTAGGTGACTTCTAAGGTCTCGTGATATCCTGCTTGCTCACAAAATGTCCTCGGGCTCAGGGTCAGTAGTTGAGTGTCCATAGGGCAGCTCCTGGGCCTTCCAGGGCCTCTGCAAGCTCCCTCCCTGGAGAGAGGGTTCTGGGTCCTTCTTAAGCTAGTGGATGGCCAGAGCAGCGTACACCCTGGGCTCATCTGGGGGTTCCTCTATAGGGGACGGAAGAGGGTGCACTTGTCTCTCATTTGAGGGTCAAGTGGCTCAGTCGTGCATAAGTCACATCCTGGGGTCTTCAGATGGAGGATCCTGAAGAGGGTAGAGTGAGAGGCAGTTGTATGATTAGGGTGGAAGGTAATCAAGGTGGTGGAAAGTAATCAAGTCACTCCCCGGGGTCTTTGTAGTCAGGGGTGAGTTGAGGGAAGACAAGAAGGGTGGGACTTCTCGCCTTGCTCACTTGTCCCAGAAACCAGAGTTGATATTGAGACACTAATAAAATCACTCAAGTTCCTTGTTCAGTACATCTTCATTCATGTTTATATCACCTGGTCTACGACAGAGCCCCAGAGGGCCTGGAGGGCAACACATCACATCAAGAAGATCATTCTGGAGAATGTAAGATCTAAATGCATGTTGCTTTGCTGATGTTGAAATGTGCTTGGAACCCATAACCCCAGTGATTCCTAAGAATGTTTTGCTGACTCATTGATAAATAAATGAACTCATGTGGAGAAACTATGCATCTTGAAGACCTTCATTTAGGCTTTGATTGATTTACTTTACCCGTATACATGTGTATATGGTTATATTGTATACATAGATAAAAAGGGAGTATATATACTCTATATCAGTACTAATAGTGTATACGTCTGTCTATTTATCTATTTATCTATATAGAGAGATAAAGACATAAAGAGAAAAATAGAGACATAGAGAAAGAGACACGGATAAGAGGACAGATAGACATTGTCAAAGGGCCAAGGAGAAGACAGATAAGGGCCCTGACTTCAGGGATTCTCTGGGTTGGGAACAAAGAACAAGTTCAAGTGGGATGGTGGCAGGTTTTAGGGAGAAAATGAAATAGTGATTCAGTAGGGAGTAAGGAAAAGCATGTGGGGGAATTACTTCAGCTATGACAGTGTTTCTCCACTCAGAAGAGTAGACATATATCATGGGATGAGTGTTTCTTTCTGAGACTGTCCTATGTAGCATAGGATGTTTAGCAGCATCTCTGGACAGTAGATACCATTGGTAGCCCCTCCCCCCTATGACAGACAAAATGTCTCTAGATATTGGTGTGGGGCACAAAAGAAAGGATAAAATTGAGAAAGGATTCTAGATATGGAAGAAAAAATATGAACATTGAAGGAGAAATAACTCTTGGGGAGAGATTTAAGAATTGTACCTGTGATATTAAAATGCCTGCTGGACAAACAGTAGAGATGGTTGCTGGGTATTTGGATATTTGAGGCTTGTGCTCAAACAAGAGGTCAGAGCTGGAAATAATTGTGGATTCTGACACAGACAGAATCTAGCTATATCTGGGATTAAATAAATTTAAAAAGTCTGTTTTTCTCTATTGAGTTAGAGAGAGAGGAAGGGAGAGAGTGAGAGAGAGAAACAGCGATGAGAGAGAACATCGATTAACCAACTCCTGCATGCCCCCCACTGGGAATTTGGCCCACAACTTGGGCATATGCCCTGATGAGGAATCAAACCAATGATGTCTTGGTGCATAGTTTGGTACTCAACCACTGAGCCACACTGGCCGGGCTAAATAAAATGTTGCAACATAAATTACAGAGTTGTCTCAAGGTGAGGGTAACAAGATAGTTGGCAGATTTTCTGAGGAAGTAGAAACCAAATGCCAATTGTTATGCCCAAAGTGCATTATTGTTGGGTCCATGGCATCTAAATCAATTATATTGAGGGAAAGTGATAAAACAGGAAATAAATGGGTGAAAAGGAAGGCAGAGAGTTCTAGTGCACAATCTGGCTACTCTACAGGGGGGATTTTGCAAAGATAGGCATGCCAGTCATACCCCACCAGTAACCCTACAAGCCTTATTGTGAAGTGCACAAGTGTACAACTGTCCATGGCAGCACTATGATTATGAGATATGAACAACCAAGAATCAAAGGGCATGGACAACAACTGGGGAAAGGGCAGGGAGGGAGGATGGAATCAATGGGGGGGGAGCAGAACACTCCATAACAAAAATTAATTAATAAAAAAAAATTAAAATAAAAAAAAAGAATCAAAGGAACCTAAAGTCAGTGGCACAAAGGGGTGAAAGTCTGGGCAGGGTGTCCTTCACCCATTCACCCAGATCTCTCCTCTCTGGGGTTTTGCATTTCAATCATCACTTGAAATGGTTCTTCTATTTATTCATTTATTGATTGATTTTTTAATATAATCATAAATAACTAACAATGGTAGATGTATTTACCAGATGAAAAATATGGATATATGGATGAATATTTCAATGACATAATTGTAGATACATAAATGTAGTATTATTAGTAGTCAATACAGGGTTGGGTATAAGTAGGTTGACAGTTGTGAGTACAAGAAACAGAGTTTATTCTTGTATTTCTATTTCTTATTGTATTACATTCTATTGAAAAACTGTAATTCTAATTTTGCCACACTCTGTATATGTGTAAATACATGTACAGATATACATGTATATATAATGTATAGAAATATGTATGCATTATATAGTATAGTATAAAATATGTAAAGTATATCTGTATGTGTAGCTACACATATAACTACTCTTACGTAAATAGTAAATTATCCATTATAATATATACTTAATAATATTTCTGTAGCTATATACAGTATGTATATGCGTGTGTGTGTTGTGGTGGGGGGTGTGGAGAGAGAGAGACAGACAGACAGACAGAGAGTTGAAATCAACAGGTGATAAGGAGGCAGGGACCCTGATGGTCAAGGCTGGACCTGAACAAGGAATAAGGTCCTGTCTGTGGGTGTAGGGAAGGGGCAGAGGGAAGAGGAGCTCGGAGGTTGTGGTTAATGTAGTTAGTTCAGTAGATGCGCAGCAGGGGAAAGGGTCATCCTCTTCTCTCTAAGTTTGGACAAACTTTAGAAAGTCTAGTAAGATTCCATGGATGGATGGCTATTTATGTGATTTTTATTTCAAAAGACAACCCCAACGTACTGTTTATCAAAGGTCATAACCCAGGAAGTCCACAGCTCTGGTTCAAATATTATGTAACACAGAGAATTCCCCAAATTGAAATATTTAATGAGCATCAAAAGTAGGAAATTATGTCTATCTGTGACCTCATTTGGATACAAAAACCAAGATGTAGAAAAAAGTATTGACCTATCCTAATTGCAAATATCCAAGTAAAATATCCAAATATTGGCTCACACATGGATGATA